AAACCCGAACCCCCAAACCCCAAACCCTAAACCCTAAACCCTAAACCCCAAACCCTAAACCCTAAACCCTAAACCCTAAACCCCTAAACCCATCCGGAGGATTGAAAATGGCCCAAGGCCTCCTCCTCCTCCGGAGGTCGCCGGGCCGGGCTCGCGCCTGGAGCTTTGGCTCTACAAGGGCCCCAGGACGGTTAGGGTTTAGGGTTTAGGGTTTAGGGTTTAGGGTTTAGGGTTTAGGGTTTAGGGTTTAGGGTTTAGGGCTTAGGGTTTAGGGCTTAGGGTTTAGGGCTTAGGGTTTCTATATAATGTAGGGGTTCTAGAGGGCTTTATAAGGGCTCTATTGCGGCATATTCTATGGTTTGATAAGCAGGGGCGCGGAGAGTTGAGGACTTTTAGTCTGGGGTTTAGGGTTGGACCGTTTTTTTGTTTAAGGGTTTAGGGTTTAGGGTTTAGGCCGGTTTAGGGTTTAGTGCGGACCTGCTAGGATTCGCACTATCCTCAAAACTGGCACGGAGAAGAATTGGGGTCGCAGGGGGACCCCAGATCAGTAGATCTGCTTACGCTCTTCTCGATTATCATCTCGAGGGGCTATTGGCATGGGTGCGCTCTCCAAACGCTACAAACGAAGAAAAGGCTTTAGAGTCTGAGAGATTTCGGCTGGGGTTTGAGGGCGCAGGGTTCCATCTCCAGGATGAAGTCTGGAGTTTAGCAGAACTCTTTTCGGTCTCAACACACCTACTTTTTTCTATCTGCCTTACACCCACAATCCTAGATACTAAGCCAAAACCTCTAAGCCCTCACCCGAATCCTCGGTCAACTTAACGGCAACTAGTAGATCCAAAACCTCCGGTCCTACGGGAAAGACTGTGAAACCAAAGACTCGCAACCCGAAAAACGCACACACAACGCTTTGGAGCCCCGTTCTTGGGTCCCGGGGTTCGGGGTTCCAAGCCCTTCTTAAACCCAGCCTTCAGGGGGACAACGTGTGAAATGGGCCAAGCACAACATTATAACCCTAAATCCCAAAGCCCTATGAACCCTAAACCCTATAAGGCCCCAACGGGCGCATCCCTGAACGGCCGCAAACCGCTTGAGGTCCCGCCAAGGAACCGGAACAGCCCAAACCCGAAACCCTAAAACCCAAAACCCAGAGCAAGCACCGACCTGTTGGCGACAGGGTGGCCTGAAGAAGCGGAGAGCGTCTTCTCTTGGAGGGTTCACAGTTCAGGGTTCAGGATTTCGTGGTGGGCTGGGTGGGGTGAGGGATCAAGATGTGAGGATGTGGGACGAGCATAATATGGGGGACTTTTTGTTATATGCTTTCAATAGGGCCCCGGGTTATATTATACTCTGGATGCCAGAAGGAGCACCAAGGCACAATTTCATAAGGACTCCGGGACTTGAGAAGCCCCTTGCTCACGGGCCTCAGGATTTTGGGCTCCCGAACCCTCTGCTCGAAGGCACCGGGTTTCCGAGTTGCATCAACGATTCCCATGATTGGTGTGAAAAAAAGTTCTACAAGAATACAATGGAAAGATGCAAGCATGCGAAGCGAGTGTTGCGGATTGAGGTGATACAAATACAAATAAGTTTAAGTAAGCACTTGTAAAACGGCACGGTTGATGCTTGAAGGGCTGAAGGTTTTTGGGATCAATTTACGAGGAGAACACCAAGAAATGTGCATAGCTTTCGGGCTGTTGGTTCAGGCTTCAGCTCTATGATCCGCAAAAACCGTAGCAAGAGTGATCGATATGAGGGCGAGCGTGCTGTCCTAGGCAGCCCTGGAGGCTCCGAACCCCCCGCCAGGAATCCGAAACGCCCACGACCCAAAACCCAGAACCCTAAACCCTAAACCCTAATAAACCCTAAACCCTTAAACCCTAAACCCTAAACCCAAAACCCTTAAACCCTAAAACCCAAACCCCTAAACCCAGTCTCCCACCGACTCGGCCATGGCCGGCGGGGCGACCACACAGGGGCCTTTGGGAAGAATCGCAGAAGCTTATCTACCTACCTTCCTGTTCTGTACATTACATTTGCATTGCATTGCGTTGCATTCCATGGCATTCCATGGCATGGCTTGGCATGCCTTGGCATGGCTTGGCATGGCTTGGCGTGGCTTGGCATGGCTTGGCATGGAGTGGCGTGGCGGGGCGGGGCAGGATCACGGCACGGTACGGCACGGCACGGCATGCACATGTAAATGTGGATATGTGCATATAATATACATATACATACATATATCTGTATTACTATTTTCATGTATGCAGATACGCAGATGCATGCATATGTTTGTGTGCGGGTGCGGGGGTGGTTGGTTACAGGTCGCTGTGGTTATTGCCGGGTTTCAGGTTTGAAGCTCCGACATGATTCGACAATGCTTTGGGTGGCTTAGACTAGCCTCTTAGCCGGGCCATAGCGATGTCATCAACCTTCCATTACCTTAACCTACCAAGACCTACCTTTTTGTAGGTTCTTATTCTAAACCCTAATATGGAATTTATAGGGACCCTACCAAAAAAATAGGTTCTGGTAGGCTAAGGTAATACGGGATAATTCCCGCTCATGTCGAGGCTGACTCTTTACGTCGGGTGCCGAGTTTAGGGGTCAGTTCGGTGATTGAGGTTCGCGGCGTAGGGTCCAGCGTTTCCCCTAAACCCTAAACCCTAAACCCTTAACCCTAAACCCTAAACCCTTAACCCTTAACCCTAAACCCTAAACCCTATTCAGGAGTGTTCTGGGTTTCGCATCAAGAGGCCTCGGCTGCAGGACCTACAGATCAGGATGCCCGGCTCTTTCCCCGACAATTATCAAGCCATCGCCACCTGGGAGTTTCCGAATGTTAGGGTGTCCTTATAATAAGGATCCTCTTATTTAGAGTACTATATTAGGGTCACCTATTTTCGGAAACCCCCACCTTGCCCAGCCTGCAACCGACCCATCATCCTGCCCAGAAGCGGCAGAACCGGCATCCCCGAAGCCGAAGCTAGGGGCCTAAGTAATTACCTATACCATTTTGGGGGTTCTTTATTATAATTATAGTATAGTGGACCCCAAAATCCTATTCTACTTATTAAGGCCCCTACATTAAACCAACTCAGAATCCCCAATTCCCAAACCCGCCAAGCCGAGAATCCAGATCCCTGAAGCTCCTACGCGCGTGCAAATCGTAAGCCCTGTCTCCGGCCTGCCCTAATATAGGGGCCTTCATAATTAGAACAGGGTTTTGGGGCCCATTAAACTATATTTATAAAATGGGAACCCCCAAAATAGTGCACATAGGTGATTATTTAGGCCTCTATATCAAACCCTTCACCTCCTGAACGAACCTAAAGTCTAAAATCCCCGAACTCCAACTCCTAAACCCTGAGCCCTGAACCTTTCCAGCACCCCACAACTGCCCTCTTTTTTCCCCTAAATACCCACTACTAGGGACCATAAGGGCGTCATTCAAGGGTACTTGGGGGGGGTGCTGGTGAACCCCAAACCTCCGAAGACCCAAAAGTGACCCTCCGAACCTGGTCCTGGTCCCGGCAATGGGTAGCTGCCGGCGTAGCCCCAGGGATACCTTCCATTAGGGTTTAGGGTTTAGGGTTTAGGGTTTAGGGTTTAGGGTTTAGGGTTTAGGGTTTAGGGTAACCAAGGGGTCTATTCAAGGGGGCTTTCGCTTGCAAGGTCTCTTCTTCAAGCTGTTGTGTGGAAGGTTTGGTTAGAGGGCTTTGCGGATGTTTACGTGCGTGTTTGAAGACGTTCTCTCAACAAAAACATACTTGACGGCTTTATTTTTATAGAAGATAGAGGGCTTGTTTGCCATCGAGCTCATGCCCCCAGGGCAAGTCGGGGGCTGCAACAGTCAGTTCTACTGTACAAGCCCTTGAATCTCAGGGCGCGGCAGCACTCCGAATGGCGTGGGCTGGCCATAGAAGCCCGGAGCGATTCCTGGCAGCTAGCTATGGGGTTTGCTTGGAGGTTCATGGGTAGTTACAAGTCGTGTTATAAGTCCCCTAATATAGGTTATAATTATAGTTACCCTACTTATAACCCTACTTATAACTACCCATGAACCTCCAAGTGGGGCTTGGCACTTTTAAAGCTTCTTTTGGCGCACATCAACTCCAAAGTTGCTCCGGCAAAGCCTTTTACTTTTGGTCTAAACCCTAAACCCTAAAACGCTAAACCCTGAACCCCAAACCCTAAACCCTGAACCCTAAACCCTAAAACGCTAAACCCTGAACCCTAAACCCTAAACCCTAAACCCTGAACCCTAAACCCCAAACCTTAAACCCTAAACTTTTAAAAGCCTAAACCCGAAGAGATGATGAAGCTTCTTGGGACCCTCAAAGGAGAGAGGCTTCAGGGTAGGGGTTCGCCTTTGGTTTCGGGAGGGATTCATAGGATATCGAAGACGATCCTTGGGGTCTGATATGGAAGGGCGGGTTTAGGGTTTAGGGTTTAAGGATTAGGGTTTAGGGTTTAGGGTTTAGGGATTTAGGCTCCTGCGCGTGTTTTGTCTTTATAACAGGGATCGATAATGGCTTTTTACGGGGAATCTTAAGGTTACTTGGCTTTCTGAAGCTTTTACTCCACAAGGGCATTGGGCTTAAGATTTTGCTTGACCGGTTGGGACTTTGGAGGTTTCAGGTTCGGCCTTTGTGCCTAGTAGGAAGCCCTTTGCGCGAGACCCTAAATGTTTGGGGTTTGGGCGCTTGAGCTTAAGTGCCTTCTTAAGTGTCTTCGCTTTTAAGGCTGCCCTGTATATAAAAACCTACAACGCAAGATCCGGATCATAAGCACCCCATATGTGAGCCTCCGACTCTAAGAAACGGCCCGCTTGAAAGCCCCAGCAAGCCAGCCTAGTGGTTGCGGCGCCACCGCCCTGTGTGCTGGGGGCTTTGGGGCTCAAGGGTTCGTTTATGGGTTGTTTAAGGGCTCTGTGATTCAATATGAGGGTTATGCAAAGGTTTGGGGGGGGGCTAGAGTTGATGGGTCTGGTATCTAAAGGCTTTGATGGCTTTGGGGCTTGAGGGTTTAGGGTTCAGCGGGGGGTTCGAGGCTATGGGGATCATAAGCGGTGTAGCGCAGGAAACTAATGGTCCATGGCTATCACACGAATGATAGGGGCAATGCCTCGAACTTCAAGTGAGGGATGCTTCTTGGAGGGTTTCTGCGGAAGTTTTGTGCAGCACTTGGTAAGGCCCTAAAGAGACTGCAGTACAATTGCAAGCGGGAGTCCACTGTGCAAGGCTTCGGATGGCCGAAGGTCAGAACTGGAGCAACTAGTCATCGTATGTCTTAGTAAAACTATAGATTTTGTCATAGCGTCATCATTGTGTTGTAATAGTACTGTCATATAGTAGTCTTATAGAACTATCGGCCCGACGATACTTCTACCATTTTCGAACACCCCGCACAATTCAGTTGTCTCACAAGCGGATAGATAGATAGAGGTCGCCGATTCGTTCCAAAGGGTTCCCAGATGCGCACGAAGCGGATGCCTGGCCTCACAGGCTTCCAAACTATTCGCGCTGCCAACTTGGCTGTCCTTGCTTGGAGGATCATGGGACTTAGTAAGTAAGGTTATAAGTCCCTTAATTGGGGTTATAAGTATATATAAGTACAGTTACCTTAATTATAACCCTACTTACTAAGTCCCATGATCCTTTAAGTGATTCATTCTCCCTAAACCCTAAACCTTAAACCCAAAACCCTAAACCGCTGTATAACCACAAACCATGAAAGAACGGTTTACAAACCTTGAACGAAACATTTAGTTTCGGAAAGCCGCGCTCCAGAGAACGAGGTCCAAGGTATTCGGCGGCTCGCACAGCTCCTAACACAGTGCTCTTTAGGGCTTATGGGGGTTACGGTTTAGGGTTCAGGGTTTACGATTTAGGGTTGGTTAAGGGACCTCGATTTAATATGTATTTAGAGAAGGGTTCCTGTAGGCACTTCGATGTTAGAATAGGATTTAGGGTTTACGGCTCCGCAAGTGTTGAAAATGATTAAAGGCTCATTTAAGGTTTAGGGTTTAGGGCTTGCTCCTAATCTAGGCGCCTTTAAGACTTCAGTGGTGATCATTTAAGGGGTCCCCACCCCTAAATATCCTGCACCCTAAACCCCCGTTAAGAATTCTCTTCAAGCGACGATTTAGGCTTTAGGGATTGGGGGTTTGCAGGTTTAAGGGTTTAGGGTTTAGGGTTTGGGGTTTAGGGTTTCTTGCCACCCTTTCAACTTTCCACCCTGTTAACACTTTCCCCAAGGACTAAACAACCTTTCAACACGCCCTATGTCTCTGAAGCCCTTATAAACACATTACACCACCTGACAAACTTGATGAAAATGCCTTAGAGCCCCTTTGAACACCCTGTACCCCCAACGATACACTCCCAAATCCTACACTCTAAACCTTAAACCCTAACTCCCAAACCCTACACTCTAAACCCTAAACCCTAACTCCCAAACCCTCACTCTAAACCCTAAACCCTCAAGTGCCTTCATCATGGCTTCAATGGACTTCGTCGCGCCGTTCACGGCGACGATGTCGAAACCCTCGAGACCTTCGGGCTCTTTTTTTTGGGGGGCCTAGGGTGTATAGAGCTTAGGGGTTTAGGGGTTCAGGGTTTAGGGGTTTAGGGTTTAGGGTTTAGGGTTTAGGGTTTGCAACCAGCCTTCTGGGCCCTAAAGGTCCTCATTGAGGGTTTGGGTTTAGGGTGTATACTGGGAGGATCATGGGACTTAGTAAGTAAGGATATAAGTCCCCTAATTCGGGTTATAAGTATATCTTCGGTTTCGAGGGCCTAGGGTTTCTAGGGTTTCTAGAGTTTAGGGTTTAGGGTTCAGGGAACCCTTTAAAGGAACACCCAAAGGTGCACGACTTTTAAGATCTTACGGGCTGCAACCTCAGAGTTACCAATCCCGAAGCAGGCCTAACACAAGGGCCTGTTTAGGGTTTAGGGTTTAGGGTTCCTAAAAAGGGTTCATGTACAAAAGGATTCTATGTGGCCGTTACAATTGATGCGGTTTTGGGGCCTATTATGGTACCGTACTTATAATAAGGAACGCACCAAAATACCATCCGTATTTAACACAGACCGACCAGAATTGGAATCCTGATGGCAAAGACCCTGGAATCAGGGACCCTCATTTTCCGAAAGCCCGTAGTCAGTCTCGATGAAGCCTGCATGACATCCAAAACGTCCTCATAACAAGCCTGCTAAAATTCAGAAAGCAGGGCCAGACCACTAAGCCAAAGCCCAATATGCCCGAAACACTATACACCCCAAACCCTAGAAACCCCATACCCTGAACCTAAAGGGGCTTTAGGGTGCAGGGACTAAGGGGTCTAGGGTTTAGGATTTGGGCTGTAGGGATTCGAGGGCTTATATAAGGTGCAGGCACTATAAGGAGCCACTTTCATCATGATCAGCAGCACGTAAGCCACACGCCCAGGAATACTCAGTAACTAACGGGGTTAAACGTATCTCTGCACTGAAACCATTTCCAAAAATCCTCACACATCTCCAGAAACTACACCTTGAGCCCTGACTGTGAAATGCTTCGCAGCTTAGGGGAACCATCAGACCGTCAAATTGGACAACCTGGAGGAGGGCTGGCCCTCCTTGCAGAACTCTTGGATCTTCATGAAAAGATTCCGCTCAGGTCCTGATTGGAGCCAGCTATCTGGGCAGTGTCCCTGATCAGGTGATAGAAGAGGTTGCCCAAGAAATCTGCTGTGACACCTAAGTCCATGGTGTGCAGCCAGTCTAGCAAGACTTGCTGCGAAGTGAAACCAGGACTTGCAAAAAGAGGACTGGTGCCGTTGCCACCTTCCAGGATTTTATTCATCAGGTCGAAGTCCTCTGGTTTCGCCAACTGGCCGAAGCAGTGAAGTCCCGAATCTGCTCCGGGCCTGCTGCACACAGGTGACAGCAGCCTGCTGCATCCTTCCAGCCTGGGAAGGACAGGAGCTCCTTCCTCATGGCCCAGTCGCCTCTGAGCTCACAGAGAAACCTTGGAAGGTCAGGGGAGATCCAGCTAGGCTTTGGCGCTATTTGTCCTGGCCAGCCAACCATGCTGATTCGTCGTGTCTGCTCGGACGGAAAATGCCTGAAGCAATGAATCGCATGCTCCAGCTCACGATTCCAAGGATGCCATCCATAGTCAATTTCTTGCAACCTAAGTGCTTTGGTGTAACCGTCGTTATGGGCAGTCGCAGCCCTTTGTTCGGCTCACACAAGCCGGGCATTGAAAGCACGATGGATTCCAGTGACTGCATGCGATCGAAGCTATATGGAGTTCCATCGATCCAGAGCTCCAGTGCCAGTGCACGTGTACCAGGAGCTGAGTGCCGCCTCTCCATTTTCAGCAAGTGCTCGAGGGACTGTGTGCACAAGCCAGACCTCTGCAGAAACTCTTGCCTGCTGTTGTCCCGGAATGCGGCTTGCGGGGAGTGAGTAAGGTGTGGCTACTCATCATCCTTACAACTACTATCGTTCAGTTTGTCAGTTACTATCAATACCATTGATATGTCCTCGTCCAAACCCTCAACCCTGTGTGGAACCCTGGTCC